ACATTTTTTTTTTCTATTGTACCTATTTGTGCAAAATGGTTATCATTTATTACAATACAATGTTACAGTCAACAATGAAAACAATAAGTCTTATTTATTTATTGATTGATTGATTGTGGCAAGGCCTGTGAAAATTAAATAATTCATTTTAAAGCAAATAATTGAAACCACTGGCCAAACCGGGCAAGCAGAAAATGTCCTTAGCGTTGAGCCCTGACAAAACCATCAAAATCAGCATCATAACACTAGTACACAGATCTGTAGAACACGTAGGTTACATAAAGATATTTTAAAATTAAAAACTTAAAACATGTACTCGAAAAGAAAACAGGATGACTTCGAATAGCATCATTGTAAAATTGTGAGGAAGAGCTGAGCAAGTCTTGCACGTGGTTTCTTACAGTAGTGAGTTTACATCTCACAATTCTGACTTTTTTTCTCACATATATATATATATATATATATATATATATATATATATAAAAAATATAAATTAAAATGCAGTGCATTTCTTGTCAAAAGAATGAAAACAATAAAAGTCTTACAATTCTGGGGTACGGCACCCGTCCGAAAGAGTAAATCTCCCACAGAAGAACGCCGTAACTCCACACGTCGGATTTCGTAGAAAACCTCTGCAACAACACACGAGAAAAATCTATCAATGCCATGAAACTAGTACTGATGAGATTCTCTGAAAATCAAACGAAAAAATTGTGAAATTCACAATTTAGAACGAGTCAAATGGGAAAAACTAGAGCGAAAGCGAATCATTCACACGCTTTAAATGCAAAATATGATCTCCGACATCCAGCAAGAACGTCACTTCCAGACACGAGCTTCGATCTTAATCTGAAGCTTTTCTTGAAAGACATAAACCAGTACCTTCTCTCGCAGCGCCTCAGGCGAGGTCCATTTGACGGGCAGTTTTGCCGTGTCCTGAGTGGACGAGGCCTCCTTGGTCAGACCGAAGTCGCTGACTTTGGCGATGTTGTCGTCGGACACCAGGACGTTACGAGCCGCCAGGTCTCTGTGCACGAAGTTATTGGCCTCCAGATACTCCATGGCCTCGCAGACGTCACTGCGATACGGACACAAACATGCTAAAGATCCCGACAGACTGACAGACGCGTGTAATGAGAGGTTTACTCACAGAGAGAACTTGAGCAGACACTCGCCTCCCAACACGGTCCGGCCCCGAGAGCGTAGGTAATCCACCAGACTGCCCTGTTCCACACAGACACACACACACACACACACACAGACAGAGACACACACACACACACACACATTGATTAGACCGAGATACAGACATTTCTAAAAAATGCAGTTTTTAGTAAGCGAACGAAACGTACTCAAAATACACTTTTTTTTCCAGATTTTTTATTATTTTTTAACCATTTTTAAAAACATGTCATTTTATGTTCGGGTCATTTTGTATGGTATGCTATGTATGGAGCACCATTAGTGCCAAAAATACTTTTTGTCAAATTAATTTAATTAATAATTTAAAATTTTTGCATTTAGCAGACGCTTTTATCCAAAGCGACTTACAGTGCATTCAGGCTATACATTTTTTTTTACCAGTATGTGTGTTCCCTGGGAATCGAACCCACGACCTTATGCGCTGCTAACGCAATGCTCTACCACTGAGCCACAGGAACATTAAAATCATAATATAAAATTATTTAACATCAAATTATCTATGAAGTTATATTAGTGTCAAAAATGTTTACAAAATATATTCCACCTTTCCCCATATCTCACACACTTTTGGACTGAATTTTGTTGATGAACATGAATATGTTGTCTATTGATGAACTATTGCAGCAGGAAAAATTATCACTTTTTCCATCCGAAAGTGAAAGCATGTACAAGTAAAATGAATTTAATTTGTTCAAAAACTTTTCAGAGTAATAATTGTTGTTTTGTTAGAAAAAAATGTATAGGTTTCATAAATTTGGACTGATTTTGAGCAATCATGAGTTATAAATTCAAAGGAATTTAATTCAATTTCATTCATTCCAATGGGGTTAACATCAGTAATTCTCAGATGATATGTTTTTAAAAATTTCATACAATGATATATTCATTAATACTGAATATTATACATAAATATGCATGTGTGTATTTTATATATATATATATATATATATATATAAACATTTTTAAACTATATTAAAATATTAATAAAAATTATAATAGTATCTCAATGACACTACAATTATACTGGTATATATGGATGAGGCTACAAAATGACTCCGTACAGTAGGTTTTGACAGCACTTGTCATTTTAACCAGTGGCACTGTCATTAAAAGCCTTTCAGAGCACACACACACACACAGACAGAGACACACACACACACACACACATTGATTAGACCGAGATACAGACATTTCTAAAAAATGCAGTTTTTAGTAAGCGAACGAAACGTACTCAAAATACACTTTTTTTTCCAGATTTTTTATTATTTTTTAACCATTTTTAAAAACATGTCATTTTATGTTCGGGTCATTTTGTATGGTATGCTATGTATGGAGCACCATTAGTGCCAAAAATACTTTTTTTCAAATTAATTTAATTAATAATTTAACATTTTTGCATTTAGCAGACGCTTTTATCCAAAGCGACTTACAGTGCATTCAGGCTATACATTTTTTTTTACCAGTATGTGTGTTCCCTGGGAATCGAACCCACGACCTTATGCGCTGCTAACGCAATGCTCTACCACTGAGCCACAGGAACATTAAAATCATAATAAAAAATTATTTAACATCAAATTATCTATGAAGTTATATTAGTGTCAAAAATGTTTGCAAAATATATTCCCCATATCTCACACACTTTTGGACTGAATGTTGTTGATGAACATGAATATGTTGTCTATTGACGAACTATTGCAGCAGGAAAAATTATCACTTTTTCCATCCGAAAGTGAAAGCATGTACAAGTAAAATGAATTTAATTTGTTCAAAAACTTTTCAGAGTAATAATTGTTGTTTTGTTAGAAAAAAATGTATAGGTTTCATAAATTTGGACTGATTTTGAGCAATCATGAGTTATAAAGTCAAAGGAATTTAATTCAATTTCATTAATTCCAATGGGGTTAACATCAGTAATTCTCAGATGATATGTTTTTAAAAATTTCATACAATGATATATTCATTAATACTGAATATTATACATAAATATGCATGTGTGTATTTTTTATATATATATAAACATTTTTAATTAATAAAACAAGGCTAAATGAAATAAAAACATGTTAATAACATGGTAACATTCAAAACTTTGACATTTTTTTCACATTCACTCATTAATGCGAAGTTGCTGTTCAGATACAATATGGTTTTAAAAACATATTGAGATACAATGCAGAACTTATTATTACTTATTATAAACAAGCCCGAAATAGACTGGGACTCTTATTTTGAAATGTTCATGCTTTACTACTTCCAGCTACAAAATTAAAGAGATAAAACATGCACTTACCACCATCTACAACATAATACAATATAAATACAATACAGAGAACATTGTCACACACAGTAGATCAGAAGCAATCTATTGGCATAAATGAGCTCACGATACAACTTTTGACAGCAACATTGAGAGAAACACCACCGACCTTAGTCATGTATTCAGTCACGATGCACAAACTGCCTTGTTCCTCCACGATCACCCCTAATAACTGCACCAGGTTAGTGTGTCTCAGCTGACTGCAACACACACACACACACAGATGTAAAGCGCTGACAAAAACACTGACGGCCAATCAGAATCCATCAGACTTAAAAAAAAAAAAAAAAAAAATGTTTGCATGTGTTGAAAATCATATTTGCTCCATCAGGCCTTTATGGCTCATATAGTCTGATAGAGTGAGAATCTGGAGGAAAAAACTGCTCAGTTTTATTTACTGCAGATGCTGATATTTATATGATGAAATTCTGCTGCTTGTGATGTAAATCACAGAGATCTTTATAACAGTGCAGCAGATACTGAGATAAAATGATCTAAATATCAGTCATGGCTCTATATCTGCAGTAATCTGTCTCAGTAAAATGAGATTGAAATGCTCCAAACATATAATGCAGTGATTGAGAGCTGAAGAAATAAAGGCTCCTCAGAAGATGTGAGATGTTCTGGAGGCTTGTGAAGATCATTCCTCCGCTGAGGAACAGTGAAAGTAAAGCTTCTGGAAACAAACGCTCCTCAAAAGATCCTGAGGATCAGATTTGAGACTCTAAAACATGATTGATGGAGAATCAAGTAAAGCTGAGCTGCTTCAGTCCAGTAAGTGTTCATCTGGAGATATTACTGCAGTTATTCTGACGATTACTTGATAAAAATCAGTCAAGATTTGACACGAGAAGCTCCAGCTGAAGCTGAACGTTTGTACAGTTGCTTTTTGTGAAGTAAAGGTGAAAGTCTTTTTGATCATTCGTACTCACGTCATGACTGAAGCTTCAGCGAGGAAGGCCTGACACGCGCACACACACACACACACACACACACACACACACACAGATTACACACAGATTACACACGGATTCATCATCCTCAAACGCAGTCACAGGGATCTTCACGCACCTCCGAACTCTCCACTGCCGATGGTCTGAATGAGTTTGAGATCTTTCCTGCTCAGAGCCCATCCACCTGTTGAGACAAACATCGAGATGAAACCGCTTTCACTTCTGCTTTATTTCCCTCATCGAGTCCCGAGCATCTGCTTCATGACACGACAGCTCTCAAACATCAACATGAACCTCGCTGCACTTTTCTAGAGCTCATCTGAGAGCTGCGATCTGCTGAGATTCATCTTGCACTTGTATTTTCTTTCATCCTCTAGTTTTATTGAACAGCAGATGGTCTGTAAGGTACAGTACGAATGATAAGTTATAATTAGCTCCATGTGATATTGTATAGAGCTGTTCTTAAACACAAAACATTTAGAAAAATTAAAGAATTTTGTTTCTAGGACTGATTGCATAAGGGTTGTTTTCATTACCCGAAAGTAAAACTTTTAAAACATTTTTGTTAACTAAAATGAAGCTAATGAAATAAAATATACATATTAGATGAACCTTTGTTTAGTTTTAAAAGTTGAAGCACTAAAATGAGTAACTGGAAATAAAATAAAAACTAGAACTGAAATAATCAGTGAATAATAAATTAAACCTAAAGAGTAGTATTTAAAAAAAATTTAAAAATTTAAAAATTTGATGAAAGCACATGAAATTACTAAATATTTAGTAAGTAAAAATACTAAATAAGTAAAAAGTTACTTCAAAATATTAACAGAAAAACTAGATAAAATAATACTATAATAATAATAATAATAATAATAATAATAATACAATTACTAACTGGAAATAAACTAAATAGAAACAAAAATGGAACTAGAACTAAAAATACAGAACTTTTTTTATAATAAATGAAACCCAAATAGTTTTTAGCTGGAAAAAAATTAAATAAAATAAAAATGACAAAAGCACAATAACAAAATTACAAATATTTGAACTGAAATTAAATTGAAAACTGAAAAACAAAAAGCTACTTCAAAATTTTAATAAAAACTATAATAGTACGTAAATAATACTAAAATAAAATTATTAACTGGAAATAAATAAAAACTAACCAACTGAATCAAAGCTAAAACTCAACTAATGAGTTATAAATAATGAATTATTATTAAATTAAACCTAAATGTGACCCTGGAGCACAAAACGAGGCTGTGGAGGGGAAGAGTGAAGGACAGCAGCCTGAGGGAGCAGAGCATGCTGGGATAGAGGTCACACTCATCTCACGGCACTCTGCTGGATGTTTCCGGTGAAAACAAAACATGTCTTTCCAAGCTGATGAAGAATTAGTTTTCATGCCACTAACAACAAACATCCAGGAGGAAAAATAATTTAATAAACACATCAAACAAGACCAATGATCAATGAATCAAACTCATTCAAATCACTACAGCTCAATCAATAATTTTAAGATATTTATTAAATATTCAATGAAAAGCAAAAAAGGTTACAAATATTCTCTCTTTTTTATGATTTTGTAAAAGATATTTATTTTATTTTTTCTTAAAAAGTTACAAATTTGTAAAAACATTTTTAGCAGTTTTTTAAAAATAATTTTAAATATATTTTTAAACATTTGTCTCCTTTATGATTTTCTAAAATATATATAAATACATAAATATATATATATATATATACATATTTTTTTTGCTCCTTTGTTATTCATTTAAAACAAAACGGTTATTAAAAGTTTTTTTTTTTGTAAATAATTTTTTTTTCATTTTGCTCTTTTGTTATTCATTAAAATGCAAAATGAAAACGGTTTCTAACTGGACATGTCTAGATCATGATCACTAATCACTGCTTTAATATCCTGCAGGACAGAATAATTCTCTTCATCAAACTCTTGTTTAGATGATCATTTGAGTTTCACAGAAACACAGGAGCCACTAGAGGGCAGAAAAAAACTCTTAAATCACATTCAAGAGCAAACACACACACACACTCAGGTCTGTTCTTGTTTACAGTCGTTCCACAAGATGTGTGTGTGACGTCGATTCATGAGCAGCTTGTTATGACACGCCATCGAGAGAAACGGGACGAGAATGAGAAACAAGACTAGAGAATGTGAGGGATGCCTCAAAACACACACACACACACACACACAAACTCACTACAAACACACTCACAAACTCACACACACTCACTACAAACACACTCGCACGCACTCAAAAACTCACACACAGACACACACAGACACACACACACACACACACACA